TGCCCAATGGGGGAGCGCTATGGGTCCTGTGAGGGCGTCTACCGGGTGAGCACTATGGGTTCTGTTTGGGCATCCACGCAGGTCAGCGCTATGGGTCCTGGTTATTATGCAAAATGGAGCCACCCTTAGCTTGAGAAACGGATCTTCTGCGAAGCAAAACATTTTCTACCTCACAAATGTAATACACTTCAGCTCTTCATCACCTTCTATTAGATAGTTATGTAACGTGACAAAAAAAACCCACCCAATGAAACCGTACTTCACCTAGTTCTTCCAATTATGTGCATTCTGACTGTTACCTAAAATGGATGATCTGAATTTCTAAGCCATTATGTTCGTCTAAGATACCTGGGATTCACTTCAATGAGGGTCCAAAAATGCGTATATTAATGGATGATATTGTCTCTGTTTCTGCCTGTCAGTGGAGGTGGTGTGTAGCTCACTACCGGACCTGTATGTGGAAAAGTTACTGGGCTTTGTAGCTGCGGAGCTGGAGAGTTCCAATCACCTGCAGTTCTACCTCACCTGGGCCCAGCGCTTGCTTATCTTCCATGGACAGAAGCTCAAAGTCAGGTAAGAGTCATGTTGGATCTATATGTACTTTTCTCCAACCGCTGCATGATCCTGTACAGCATCATCATCATCGTGCAGAGAACAACCTGGGCAGGATGCCAGTCCATCACAGGGCTGCACACACTCACATACCTAACTGCATGCCATTGAATTGTGGGAGGATTGTGTGAGTAGGATAAATCCTGTGCAGTATAGGGAGAACATGCAAACACTACACCCAGACCTAACCTTAACCATAAGTAACCAAACAAAATACAAGTCTTGTTGCATTTGTAGTTTTTTGATTGCAGTCAGTCAGCTGGACTCTCATCACTGTTTTTTGGCCTCCAGGTCAGGAGCGATACTACCGACCATCCAGTCCTTACAGAAGAGCATCCAGAAGCACTTTGAGGATTTGTCCAAGCTGTGAGTGCACTCAGGGTCACAGCTCATGTTTGTAGCTGCACAAATTTACTTTGGTAATGTTGGTGCGTTTCTTGCCGTAAGGATGCCTTGTTGGTCAAACAACGGGATTTTTTGGCTAAAAAAAAATCAGTAAATAAGCTGATGGAAGTATGGAATAAGCTTTCGCAGTATGGGAAGTATGCAGCGGGAAATGTTTCAAAAAACAATTGCAATTACAAAAATTGCAAGTCATAGAGGAAAATGACTGAGCCATTTGTGTGTGTCCCTTGTGCAGCTGTGAGTGGAACATCTACACTATCCGCTATGCGGAGGCCCTGTCCAAACAGAGGGGCCTGAAGAGGGCTGCATCAGAGGCAGCTAGTGACGACGAGAGGTCAGAAGTGTCAGACCTTATGAGCGAGCCGTCCCTCGAGGAGACTGACATGCTCAGCTAGGGATCCTCAAACCTGGAGACTGCCATTCTTGCATATCAAGTCCCATGTGTCGAATAGCAAAGATGTATTGAATAAAGTTTTGGCTGAACAGATGAACCGAAGGGGTCAAAATCTGGCACGTCGTCTGCATCGAGCCACCTTGCACCTCAGAGCTTTTGCATCTGAGCCATGCTAGTGCATTGTGGGAAATAAAGTGACTGACAGGTGACCCTGACATGTAGACCGTGTATGTGAGATTTTAAAAAAATATTTTGAACAGAAACTTGTTTTGTGATTTATTTGTCTGGATTTTTTTTTTTTTTTAAAGTATTAAATTTTGTGTACTAAAACTCAAACATTATTTATGGGTTTTTAATGTTTTTTTAAGTGTTGCACCAATGCAGTTGAAACGGGCATGAGATACTTGTAAGACCCTTTATGTAACGGCTGTTACTTTTGAATTTCGTGGATTGCAGAGCAAACATAAAAACAATACTCTGCTTTAAGAAAACATGATTTGATGGATGGGGTGAGCAATTTTTATTACTTTTATAAAATTATTTAGCAGACATCTTTATCCAATGAGGCAAAATCAGCCAGTCCATGGAGCATTTGGGGATTAACTAAAAGGCATTAGGGTCTGATGGTGAAATCATTACGGCAATGCTGAAATTCTAAAAAACAACCTTCCAACCCCAGGCACAGTGCCCTAACCCACTTAAGCACACTCTAATCACCAGCAGATGGCAGCAACAGTGACCGTAGGTAGGATACAGACTTACCACATATATTTTTTGGCCAGTACTGGAACTAGCCGCTATGGTGCCTCCCACTCAAGGCAAAGTGAAATCGGCTGGCAAGTCGGCTCCCCCTCAGAAGTTGGTGCCCTAGGCGGCGACCTATAGGATTGACTGCCACTGCTTTAGGTTTAAAGGAGGGATATGATTGGAAGCAGATTAAATGTGTGGCTGATAGGGGTGGCACGGTTCACAAAACCCACGGTTCGGTTTGTATCACGGTTTTAGGGTCACGGTTTTCGGTTCTGTACGGTTCTTGTTATTTTTTTCTTTTAATCTTTAACACTCCAGAAATGTACTTCAGCATATGATATATAGCTTAATTATCCACAATTTAGGATACAGTATTAAA